TCTATTACCTGCGGGTCAGATGCCTGATAAGGAGGACAAAGGGTGGGAAACCGGAGAGCGACTCACTCTTAAACGTTTGTAAAATGTTGGTCTTCATTAAGGCGAGTGACAGAGCAGCCTGCAGGGGAACATGTTAACTGTGCTAAACTACATTATTCTCACATGCAGGCGTGTAAACGAGCCGTTATTCTGTCTTTATGACGGTGATTATGTTCAGTTTCTGTGACACCATCTGACAGAACCTGAACCCACCCTGAGGCTGTGTGAGAGCCGCCCTTGACATTAGATTTGTCTTTTATATTACATCAATCCCACATCCTTTGTACTCCTTCAAACACTCAGAATCAAACACTGCAAACTCAACAGGATTTATTTCATTTCAGATCCAGCCCAACAATCGCTGTGCAAAGATTTAAGTCTCCCATTGGACAACAACTGGAACCCTAACTACACATAAACATCTTAAACAGAGTTTCCAAAAGGCACAAGTTTAGTGACATGAAATGTGTTTGTGTACGAAAGGCCAAAACACACAGAAAAACAGAAGTTTTCAAAAATACCTGCCTAGGCCTATAATAAAAACCCGCTAGGAACACGAGGGAAACACTAAGAACTGACAACATGAGGGGGAACACACTGGGATTAAATAAACAGAGAATTAAAGGATAACGAGACACAGGTGAGGGTAAACAGGGCGGTGCTGATACACAAGGCGGGAACAAGAGGAGCAGGATCTTTAAAGACAGAGACAAGGGTGAGTAAAGGCTACAAAATAAAACAGGAAGTAATGAAAATATACAAAAAAACAAAGAACATGACCTGTTTAATGGAGCGTGTCATCGCCATCATGACGATGGTTATGACTGACAAAGGCAACTCATGAAAATGTCAGGGGCCGACTGTTCTGAAATTTTCAGCACATTTTCAAACATCCTGACTGACAGATCACACTAAGTGGTCGTATTGTCTATATTAAGTCAACACATCATCATATTTTACAAACTTGCGGTCTGTCTCTTCATCCTGCAGAGTTTAAATAGAGCATGTCACTGAGACTGGGGAGACTGACCTCGAACACACTTCATTTTCTCCTGTTGGACCCTCTCTGTGTTTCTTTTCTACCTTTCTTTGCTGAGTAAGCATGAATGCCACATTTCTTACCTTTCCTGTTTTTTTCTCCTCCTTTTTTTCCCCCAACTGTTATAATTTTTCCTCCTTCGATCGCTCACTACTCTACTTCTTCTGCAAATTTACATAATATTTTCTCCATCCTCCCTTTTCTGTTTTTCAACTCCTTTACACTCTCCTCCCCTCATGCATCTTAGCCTGTTCTGTTCCAATTTTTTTCATTTTTAAATGTCTCTCTGACTTCCTCACTCTCTCTCTCTTGTAGAAATCAATGGTCATTCTCTCAATAGGAGGTCACGCGGGTTGCAGGCGCTGACGTCCCAGCTTTTCAATTACAAGCAGCCTGCAGTCAACACACACCTTTCGTCCTGAACAGCAACCCCCCCCTCCCACTTCCCAAGCCGAGCTTCATGGCCACTAGCTTGAGAAGAAAAGAAGAGATCTTTCTCAGGCTGAATGTGAATGACCCGCTCTGAACTTGAGGACTGCGACTACATTCATAAACCTCCGCTACTTAACTATTTAGTTGCCAATGAGAAAATAGATTTGTAATAATAAATGGTGGTAATTAAACGTTAAGGTCCAATAGAGTTATCGCCGCAAGCAGGTAAGAGTCTGCTGAAAGTCCTCATTGAGACCCCCATGGAGGTGGTTTTGACAGCCATCAGAACCTCCAGAGACGAGTCTGAAGGATCAGTGAAGCTTTCTTGTTTGTTTCAGTATTCTCATAAAGATCAACCAATACTACCAATGTATCTTTATCTACTGCATGTTTCCCCACTATAGATGGCAAACGGACATTTTATAATAAAGCCAACTCTGGGACATTTAAAAAAGTTATTTCAAACAGCGACTGTCCGAATGGTTTGCAGAAGTCTGCAGCATGTCCACCCTACTACACTGCGAAGAAATCCATGAGTCAAACCTCACTTTGCATTTTAACCTTCAGAAGGTTTATTTGTCTGAAACGGAGAAACCAAAAGAGACCTCTGTTTCTGTCCGACACTAAACTCAAATTGAAATAAGAAGAAGTCTGGTGCTTAAACTTGACCAAAGACAAATGTGGAGTGGACTCAGTTAGGTTAAGACAACAGAACTAGTCAGTTAGGATCAATGACATCATTTGAATTTGGCTTTAATAATACAACTCTGTTTAGTTTGGCTTCTGGGGACTTGAACCCTGTTCTCTGGATCCAGATTTAGCTCATCTTTATGCCACAGAACAAAATAACAAATACATAAAATCATATGATATTTAATACAATTCAAGCTGTAACATTAGACTTTCAGCTAACACGGGTACGTTTATGTCCGTCTGAATGTTGATTAATGTACCCTGTCCCTCTTCAAATAAAGGATAACATCTCTGATAATGAACAGAGACTGAAACAAAAAACATACAACTTAAAAATACGACTTGACATAAAGGTAACGTTATGATTCTTTAGAGAGCGCCAAATATGTTAACTTACAACGAGCAATGTATACGTTATTTTTCTCCATAGATTTCAGGGGAACAACTGCTGTTTGTGTTGCACTATTTCCTGGTTTAATGTGAAAAAGACAATAAATGGAGCCTAAAGTTATATCAACCCATGTGCCAGTGTTTGACAGAGTTAGAGCTCAAAGAAAGGTGAGACGAGAGGAGGAAAGGAGGCAAGGGGAGGCCTGAGGAAACTTGTAAAAAGGAGGGATTTAAAGAAAGCGATAAGAAAGGTCAGAGGAGAATGAGGAAAGGAGAAAGACCACCGTTGATAGCACATGGAGGAGAAATTAAATGAAGTTAAGAGATGAGGAAGAGACAAAACAAGGAGAAGAAAAATAAAATGAACATGAAAAGAAAAAAGCAGAGATAAAACAGGAAGGAAATTAAGAGAAAACAAGAGGTGAGGAGGGAGGAGAGGAAGAGCAGACGGAAGAGATGAAAGGAGAAAAGGAGGTCAGGGAGGTGGACAAGACAAAAGAGAAGGTAAGGAGAAAATAAAATGAAAGGAGAGATTGTAGCTGGCTCAGATGCAGGGAGGGAGAGAGGAAGAGGGGGAGGAGGCGCCCAGCCTGGCGCCCTCAGGGGTTATTGGGTCGTGGACAGCCAATCTCTCTCAGCTTAATCAACAGCAGCAGAGGTGATTGCAACACCGCAGGGGACTGCTGGGAAAAAAAGATGGAGGGAAGTTGGGAGGAGGAGAGGGGGAAGAGGGGAGAGAACGAGATAGGCATGAATGGGAAGGAGGGGGTAGGGGGGAGGGCTGGAAGATGAGGAGAAGATTGGAAAAGGAGGAAAAATGGGGGTGAGGATGAAGAGGGAGGGGAGGGGGAGGGGGGAGGACAGCAGATTGGAAACGATAAGAGGGAGAGAAAGGTAAGGAGGGGAGAGAAGAGGGAGGGAGGGAGGATAGGTGAAAGGGAAACATGGGACAAACTGAGGAGACATTGTAGTCGCTTGTCAGGAGGTGTCACTTCAGCCTAACCTCTTAAAACTGCTTTGTGTTGTTTTCATGGTTTGGAATATGTAAGCTAGATGATGAAGCCGTTGTCAAACAGAGACGGGCTAACTGGCTTCTTCTTATAACTAAAGGTTTATGTGTGAATTAGTGCCATAAAGCCGAACACACTTCTTGCAGGTTGACCTCTGCATGCTGCTGAAGTTACATAGTGCAGTAAACAAGTGTTTGGTCGCTCTGTGGGCATGAGAGAGACGCCCTTCTCCCCCATGTTGAAAGTTATTTTGCTCATAAATCGACCTCTGAAAGTACTGTTTGAAGGTGGAAAAGTGATATATTGTTGCTTTAAGACTGCGAGGCTACATGCGATTGTAATGTGCAGGCGAAGGTAGATTTAGCAGATTTCTCTTTGGTGCAAACACAGAACAGGAGGTAGGCAAACCGTGTTACGTTTTTCACAAAGAAGACACACAAATACTTTGTTTATCAGTCGCAAATAGTTTTATTTTAGAGGAAGACTCATTATGCGTTATCCCACTGTAAATACAGTGACTCTCAAATATCAAAAAAAGACGTCAAACAGTGGAGATAGATGGTTTGTGTGGTCTGGAACACGTCAAAAAAACATGAATAAATAAATCCAAGAAAAAAATACAAAACAAAAATGAAGTATGCCGAGACTGAAACAAAGCTTTTAGCGACTTTGTAGTATGTACAAACTGAGTTCAATTCACTGCTCACTACACCCCCCCCACACACAGAATTCTTACACATCGTTGTAAAACTGACACACAGAGGATAATCAAGAAATAAATAAGAAACATGTTAATGGAGGAAAAACCCGCCCATCACAGGCATTAGCATGTCTTCCTGCTGTGAGCTAAACATGAAGTCATCCCTGCACTCATTTCCAAATTTTAAATGTATTAAAGGGATCGTTTTGATTCTGGAGGAAAAACATTTTTCTCAACAGTACAGAAACAAAGGTCACATATGATCCTCCTCTCCAACCAGTTTAAATAAGTCTCAGAGCTCCTCAAAACATGTCTGTGAAGTTTCTTGTTCTAAATCCACTCTGATCCTGTATGTGATCATGTCTATAAACCCCTCTATTTCAGCCCTGCTCAGAACAGGTTGTTTCTGTGTCTGTACCTTTAAATATGCAAATGAGCTGTGTCTGACCACACCCCCTCTCTGGAAGGGCTTGGATGTCTTTATTTGCTCCATGTCCTATTGTTTACGGTGAGAAGAAAGACTCAGGACAGAACAAACACCTAGCTGTGGGAGTGTCACCCACCTGGGGGAGGGGTTACTGCCCTTTGTGATGTCATGAAGGGAAACTCTCCAAAAGGCCTGTTTGAGCACACATTTTCTGAAAAGTGGAGCAGGTAAAAGACGGAGAGGATGGACTTTTCTCATAATTGAAGGGTTTGTAGACAGACTAGAGACACATTAGTGTTAGAGAAACATGGTGAAGTGGATTTTGAATAATATGTGACCTTTAAAGTTTAGTCTGGCTTGAGTCCTCACTACGTGTGAGATAAACCAGCCAAAATTAGAGAAATGCTCCTCTAAAATTCATTTAGATCTTCCTCAAAAAATCAAAAGAATCCCTTTTGAAGTCCGTGGAAGAGTTCTGAAAATAATGCTGTTTGTGGTGTATGACAGTTGATAAAAGTGCATTGCTGTATGAATGACACAGTGGAAGAAGAAACTGTACCCCTTAAAAACAACTGTACAACTCATGAAAACATTGTTGGAAATTTTAAATGCTTGTAGGAGGTTTGATGAGGCTACACATGCAAAGTGAAGACTTAGATTTAGGTTTTTAAGTCTTCAAGCTTCACATTAACATGGTGACGTTTAGATGGTGTTCAAAAGCTCGATACAGATCGCCTGTTCAAGGCACGATATTTCACCCCTGTGACTTCCTGCCCTTATTATGAATGTCACAGAGGCCTACCAAGTCATCCCACCTCTGTACCGCCATCAGAGACGCTACAAGGGGTGAAATCACAGACTGGGGCACCAATATCACGCCTTTGCAGAATCAATATGAAAGTACAAAGACGTTATAAATGGTGGATCCTTGTTACAGTGCGTGTTGTGGGAACATAGTCTCAACAAAGGCAACCACGTCCAACAGCACCAAAATCAAGCAACTAGTACCGTGCATGCTCTCTGTGCTGCCATGAAACAAGGATGACCTGAGTGTTAGCAACAAGCTTCATGCCTTTTAATGTCACCAAGATGACACAAAGACAAGAGGGGAATGAGAGACTCTGGTCTTTTTTAGGTCTTGGATGGTGTTGGAACAACTTCAACATCACACCAACAAGAAGTGTATTGGCGTCTTTTTGCTTGCTCTGTATCGTCACTAAAGCGAGCATGAAGACTCAGACTAAAAGTGAAGCAAATGTTTTGCCTTTCTGTCCTTGCACAAAGTTTGTTTGCAGGATTATTCGTCTTTAATTCCCTCGGTCGGTTATGTGTGGACGAGTGAGTTTTCTGAGGTTGGTATGTGGGATCTCAACATAATCTCGAGGCACACAAGGTCCTCTTAATTTGACCAATTTCAAGAACTGTATCTGGATTCACTTTGCTGCCTCTTCAAGCTACCCGAGGATAAACCCAGGGTTTCTCAGGATGTGCGCCTGTTTTCCTTTATCTCGCTGATGAAGGTAAGCTTCTTCGTTTAGCTTCGTTCTGAACACTTCGGTCAGGACCTTTTTTTCACAGCAGGCACATGAAAATTCAGATTTGTGGGAGGATTTTTCCTGTTAATATTTGGCTAAGCACTCTAAAACAAAAAAAATAACATGAAGACACACAACTCCAGTTTTTCTAGTTTAGCCAGTGTTAAAGGCACATTATCGTTGCAAAAAAAAAAAAACAGGACAAAAAGAGTAAAGGGGCAGCAGGATCAGATGTCATAACATACCCATGTAAACGGGTCACATATTTACACATTGTTAGGGAGTCGCATCCAAACCAACAGGACGTGAGATCGGATCAAACCTCCAATGTTTCAGCATTTCTATGGAGGTGTAGCACCTGAATGTGAAACTATGTTAGCATTCTTTAATAACCAAAAGGAGCTGTCAATCAAACGTTTCTCACATTGAGTAACTGCAATGTGATCGAGGAGGTCTGAGTGTACAAAGCAACATGAAGAACTGTATCAGACAGAAGTCTGAAAAAAAAACTAGTTCTACACCTGCCGTCTGCGATGTTTGACACGACTGTGCTACTTAAAAATGTCCGCCTCGCTGAACCTTTGTGCTATTCTTTTTTGCTTATTGTGCAGCTAAACAAAGATGAAGATCTGAATTGTACGAGTGAAATACAATATCATCTTTTAGTCAGCGTGCACGCAGTGATAGAACTTTAAAGGCCTGAAGTCATCGCTGAAGGTTTTACACAGTCCAAAGTGTAGTTTGTGATCCATGCATGGTTTAAGTGGCACTGCTTAAGTCAATTACCTAAAGAAGCCGTGCAATCCTGGCTTCAATCTATAAAGCAGCAGCACTTTAGGAGAACTAACCTCGTCCAATCACATTGCAGGGATTGCAGCAGGATGGCACCGCAGTCATTACGGCCAACTGTTTATTAATTAGCGCCAGCAGTAGGAGCAACAGGGTCTCTGTAGGGGTTTTGCAGGGGCTTAGTGAAAGGAATGTAAGCAGGGAAGCAATATTAAAAAAATAAACTTGTGTAAAGCGTCTTTTTCCTGAAGCTTTGATTCAACGTGGGCTGTTTCTGCAGACCGTCAGCTCATCGAGTTTTACCAAATAGTTTCTGCAAATTCTAACTTTTGTTTAAGTTTTTTTAAATATTATCAATCCATTCAATTTTAGGGGTCTGTCTGAACGATAAATTCATTTTTCAAGTCTGCCTGCAAGACAACAAGGACTCAACCTTTGCAATGCTTGTTTTTTTTAATCTGGTTCAAGTTAAAAGTTTTGATGCAAGTGCAGGATTTTTAAATAATTTCAGTGCTCATTGGTCTCCTCTATTTCTCTCTGAAAGTTCTGACTCAGGACAATCACATCTATGCGCTAAGTATCCACTCCCATATGACCGGAACTAATGTATGAATTAACTTTATCACAGACATGCTGTGATTCTCCAGAGCGACATGAAGGCCGGGTAAAACAAACGTCGACAGGAATTTGCAGAAACTATTTGGACAGTTCTTTGTATTCTTTGTAAACGACAATCTTTCTGGAGAGACTGTGTGCGCTTATTTGTGTGTATGAGTCTTCTGCTTACTCAACAAGGCCTTGAGAGAGAGTGTGTGTGTGTGTGTGTGTGTGTGTGTGTGTGATTCTATGAGAGCGTCTGGTTGGCGAAGAAGGCCTTGGTCTCTCCACAGGTGGGGTTGGTGCACAGCGGGCAGCGAAGGGTCAGCTGGCGGGAACACGGCTGGTTGGACTTCAGGTGGGACTGGACCAGGTCTGCCAAAGCCTGAACAAGAAGAACATCAGATATACTCAATACAGAGACAGAAAACAGCCATGAACACACTGAGCTGAGAGAGACACGACCCTCCCTCGAAGGCCTTGTTTTGAGCAGCTGGTGGTCTGATGCACTTCCTTATAGTGTTTTAACCCCTTGTTTCCTCTGGCTTGAATCATGGACCGATTTGTTACCCTGTTTCATATGTAGGACTTAAATGTGTGATGTGTGAGGACAACACTCTCTGATTGATCAGAAAGTCCTTCATGAATAATCCTGGTAGTCAACATACTACAACAGACAAGACTAGTCGACTCCTGATTGGCTGTTGCTGCTCCAAAGACACTTTACAATTAGTTTTTATATTGTTTGTATTTCATCACTGTAGGCAAAAGATAGTAATAAGTTGGTGTACTGGAGTCACTCAAGGTGCTTATCAAGGCAGTTCAGAAGAAGGAGCATGTGAATCCTCCTGAACCACGACCTGCTCCTCAGCCAAAAGTCTCCACTTTGATTTGTTATCTAACAAACATCACACTACATGATAGTTTGTGCTCGTAAATAACATGACAACATGTTCACAGATAGAACTTGCACGATAATATCAGCGTGATCGATTTAATTACACAAAAAGATAAACTAAGCTGCTATTAAATATAAAAGTTACAGCTTAAACATTACTGCTGATGCATGGAGCGGCCATGTTGGATTTTCTGACACTTCCTTTTGACTGAAATCTGTCAAGAAACTTCTTTAGTTGATTACATAAAGGTTCTCAGAGTTTCCAAGTCAGATTTCAGACTTCAGGGGGCGTTACTGATGACATATCAGACCTGCTACTCTGAATTTTTCAGCTTCCCAGATCAAATGGGACGCACCATAAACCCATGTTGTGTTTTCTTTACGGCAATCAGAAAAAAAGAACAAGTATGTCTAAAAGATGAGTGAAATAAATGGTGTTAGATTATTTTTGATTAAAGGTTGATAAGAACATCAACACGTCTCTGCAGCTAAAATGATTTTGAAAGTAATTTTTACTTCCAGCTTGCAGACGGCAACAGACTGATGCAGCTCAGTGAGAAACTAAAACTACACCGAGGAAACCATCCTTCAGTAACTACCAACTAATCATCCTCTGGATATTGATTTGTACACACACACACACACACACACTCTCTCAGAGACCTGGCGAGGGGTCTCTGAGCGCGGCGGGTTTGACCAGCCAGCCAGCCGGGCGGTTCAGTTCTACTGTAGTCAGCTCTAAAGGTTCCCATTGATCTGCCCCCTTCCTTTAATAAACCCTGCACACACACACTAACACACACTAACACACTCTAACACACACACACACACACACACACACACACAGCTGTTACAGCTGGAGGAGTTGCCTGTTGTATGAAAGGTTGCTGGGCTGAGGATGAAGGAGAGGAGAGTGGTGGAATGGGAGAGGAAGGAAGAAAGGACACAAGGCAGAGGTGAGGAAGGAAGGAAGGAAGGAAGGAGGAATCTATGTAGTGACCACATCTTGTCTTTCCTCTTTTTGAATTTCACTGTATAGTTTTTTTTTTGTGAGAACTTTATCATCTTCATTTGTCCTAACTTAGTATTTTTCTGTTTGTATTGTTCGGAGTTAAAATCATCTTGTTCACACAAAAGATCAGGTTGAAACAATCCAACCTGATCTGTTTTTAAAGATCCCATATTATACCCTGCAGGGCTGCCAGGAGAGAGCTGCTCCCCAGTGCTGGGAGAAGAGAGCCTATGTAAGAGGTTTCAACAGCTTACAAAGCTTGAAGCCGTTTCATATCGGGGAACTATCACATGATTTTCAGAACAAGAGGTTAAGCACCATCTGCAGACTTGTCCTGGTATGACTCCAACATCCGTTTTCTGAAACTTCGCCCACATTCAGTATGGACATCCAGCATTGTGAGTTTTAAAACAGGGATCAGGATAATAGAATTTGCCAGCAGTAAACATCAATCTTTCTAATGTCTGTAGATTTGATTCAGCTTGGTGTGAACTCACCTTCATAAAAAGAGGGTTTCCATTCAGAGACTCTGCTCTCCTCAGGTTCTCCGCCCCACACTGCACACAGAGGAGGAGGAAGACAGAAAGGGAGAAAGTCAAACATGTAAACCATGATGATAATATGAGGTGAAAAAAGAACCCATGGAGTTTATATGCATTTATAAACAACTTCAGCAGGAAATATTGTTACAGGAAGTTCAACCTTCAGGATCAAGATGTGAAAAAGTTTATTATCTTGTCAGTTAAGAATAAGCATTTCTATCTTTTCTAATTATCTCAAACATCAGTCTGAGTAAAAATTGAAAGTCATTCTGACTGTGGACACAGTGTGTGTGTGTGTGTGTGTGTGTGTGTGGTCTGCTTCCTCTGTCTTTGTGAGGACACTTGGTGAATAGTGACGACATGTTAGGATGGTAAGGACATATTTAGAAAATAAGGACACATTTTGAAAGTGAGGACCTTTCAGAGATGACATGTTTGAAAAGTGAACATTTGGGAAAACCAGGATTTCTTTTTTGAAGGATAAATTAAAGGCTTTGGATATAATTGTGGACTATTTCTAAATTTTTCTCACACGTATAGTAGTGCAAGTGTGTGTGTGTGTGTATTTGTGGCACTAGTCACATTGATTAGTGGTCACCTCACCGGTGCCTGCACACAGACAGAGGATGCACACATACACATACACACACCTTTACTAACCTACTAACCCAACACCTCATGCATATAAACAGCCTTTGTTTATATTATTCTGTGCAGAAATACACAATGAGTGATATATTTGGCGGTTGAGAGGAAGCAGGGTCACATGTTCCTTCAGAAAACGATATGTTTAACACTTACATTAGTAAAGAGATGACACTGTAAAATCGACTGAAAGTTCCTCACAGGATCTTTAACATTAACATGGGGGGAAATGGCTGAATGGAACCGATGGACAATCATGCAGACAGAAGCAAATAGAAGAGCCTGGAGGCTTCTCCTCCTCTTACCTCCTCCCCCAGCACCTGTCCGTACTCGATGTCCAGCTCGTGTAAAGTCTCTATGTGGTCGGAGGTGAAGGCGATGGGCACCAGCAGGAGGTTCTTCTTCCCTCGTTCGCACAGACCTTTGATCACGTCGTCTGTCTGGGGGCCGAGCCACGCCATGGGACCCACCTGAAGAACCAAAACACAACATGTGACAACAGTTAGGGTTGATTGTTACAGACAGAACAAAGCCTTTCTGATCCAACCCCTTGAAACAGGCCGAAGTCTCAGCTACTGCCGGAGGCTTCATTAAGGAGAGAGGACGCACAAATGATTGTCAGAGAAAGAAACCCTTCTCTTGTTAGATCATGTTAAGAAGCTAAAACTATACATTTGGTTACAGAAAGCCATCAACCCCTTCCTGTCCTCTTTTATTGTGAGCAGCTGATTGGCTGGGAGATCTACTCATGTGATATTAGTTTTGTAAAGTGTCAGCCTTTGTGACCTGCGGACTAAAAGCTGATTCCTGCTAGAGGCAGCTCTAATATTAGATGGAGAGGTGGCTCCATCTTGTGGTGACATTGGTTACAGCAGCACAGACTAAAGAGGGTTCTTCCAGAATAAACAGGAAACTGCTCTGAAAACTGTTTATGGATGTAGTTACATAGTTAAACAAACTACTGAGAACAGTTTCCACACTGTTGTAAACTTATCTTACAGATTGCTGTGATATACAACACTTCTTTGTGAATACTGGAGGTCTGATTTTGTGATGACTTGGCTGCAAAAGAAACACAACTAACATCCTCACAATGCTCTAAAATACCAGGAAGTACACTTCAGATGTCAGCCATGTACGGTATGAGATAAAAACATTAAAAAAGAAAATGTAAATAATTGAAGATGAAGATAAAAAAATCGACACAAAAAAATGGTTTCAGCAAGAGTTTAGAGATCACTCTGTAAAATTAATGCACAACCAGGAGCAGGAAATGATGTCATCTTTTGTCCTGTAGCTCCTGAGTCTCTATCTTTCACTGTGTCTACTGCTGTATCTGTTGACGTCAGCCAAGCCGACCAACCTGCAGCGTGTGCAGTTACAGTCCTGCAAGATGGCGACAAGGCAGCATCCTGTTTCCTTTCCTTCATGTCTTAAAACTCCAAATCCAGTTAAAAATCATTCTTACTTTGGGGCGCAAGTGGTTAGGTCTCAACCCATGTACAGAGGTTATAGTCACACAAGAGGGCGGCTTGTTCACACCTGACCTGTGACTCCCCCCCCCTCTCTCTACTCTATCCAGTTTCCTATCTAAATAAATGAACAAAACCAAGATTATCCATAAGTAGCAAGAGCCTGTTAGTATTTCACTGTCAGCTTAATGACATAACTAAACTTATTTCCAGATCAGCTCACGGTGCTTTAAGACATGGTCCAACTCTCTGGAATTTTATTTTTTAATGTTTATTTTTGGGGCTTTTTATGTCTTTATCTATAGACAGGACAGAGGGTAGAGTAAGGCATCAGGGAGAGCGAGAGAGCGAGAGAGAGCGAGTGCGAGAGAGAGAGAGAGAGAGAAAGAGAAAGAGAAAGAGAAAGAGAAAGAGAGAGAGAGAGAGAGAGAAAGAGAAAGAGAGAGAGGAAAGGAGGCCCAGGTCGGATTCAAACCCGGGCAGGATTTGAGCCTCCATACATGGGGGGCGCGCACATCAACCTCTGGGCTTCCGTCACTCTCTGGAAACACATCTTTACCACATGGACTAAGGTCTGCTACACCTGTGTCTTCATTTAAAGACAGACTTACAGGATCTCTCTTTGCACAAGCTTTTGGCTAAATCCTAAATAACTGGAGTACATCTTGCACTTTATCTGCAACATTTTATTAATATTTAAATATGTATACTCCTTCTTATTGTGTTGCTGTTTCCTGCGTTTTTATCTTGAGTTACCATTGTGTTTTTAAGCACATTGAGTCTATGCTTGTCATATGAAATGTTCCATATGAATAAACTTGATATGAATATGAACTAAATGTGTCACTAGAAGAAGGTAAGCAGCATTTTTACTCATATCAGATTTGAAGTCACTTTGCAGTTTAATCAAACAACCACCAGAGGGCAGCACTGATTTATTTATAACACTGAAGGGACAGGTCAAAGTCTCAGCTCCTGTGTTGTGTGGAGGTGTGTGTGTGTGTGTGTGTGTGCTCACCCTGGACTGCCACACCAGTCTGTAAGGATTACAGTGTCCCAGTCTCTCCATGACTCTCTGAACTGTGGCTCCGACCTCCTGAGGATACGGGTCTCCTCTGTTTACAACCTGCACACAGAAACACAGCAGGAGCACTGTGGGTTATATGACTGAACTGAAGTGACAGCATGTTTATCATACCAGACTAAAATTCAAACATATGTCAAACGAAAACCAGAACACTTAGAACTCAAGTCGAGCAAACCGAGTGCAGATTCTACTTTTTTATGCAGTATCTGTAAATATAGATGAGTATGTATCAAACACATCATCAGCATCTTCAGGAGGAGTAGCAGGCAGCAGTTCTATTATCAGCAGTCCTTGTAGGAGTTCATGGTACTCACAGCCATGGGGAGCGAGTGTGCAGAGAACAGAATGACCACGTCGTCTCTCTTGTCTTCTGGAAACTTGAGCAGCTCGTTACTGATGTGTTCTGCAAAACACTGAACACACACACACACAAAAGTTAGCTTTCAAACATCTTCCTTATTTCCTATTTGACTTTAATTTCACACAACTCGTCTGTGCTTTCCACCAGGGAGACAAGATGCCTTGGTCTAAGAAAAAAAACCAGTAATGCTTCTTGGTTGCTATGATAACCATTCATGGTCACTCTGAGCTCATTAGTTGCTATGACGACTTCTTGCCTTTGTCAATTTATTTTCACAAACCCTGATGTGAACTTTGGTTATACTGTGAGGACATATTTGTGTGTGTGTGTGTGTGTGTGTGTGTGTGTGTGTGTGTGTGTGTGTGTGTGTGTGTGTCTAACCTCCACCAGCAGAGGGTGTGTGGGCCATCGGTCAATGACACTCCAGTTCATTTTCGGCCTCTCGCCTCTGTTGCTGTAGTAACGGTAGATGGCGTTCAGACTGCTCCCTGTGTGGATATCAATCAAACACATTAATACATCATATTATCTACACATAGACCTTCCTCTTCCCGCCCACCAAGCTGCCTTGCTCAAAAGCAGGACTGTCAAAGCAAGCAAACATGATGAGTCTATAACTCTTTTTATAACTCGAGTTTTTCTTGCAATTTTAATTAGCGTAGCATTTCTTGGCAATTGCATCAATACAATCTGGGGTAACTTTGAAAACAGCTGACAGAAGCTATTTGAATCAACAAAAAGAAGATGTGCGGTCTGAGTTGTTATTCAAAGATGGATTCTGGACTTGTAAACTAATCCCTACACTCACAGACTTCCTGGTCTGCAGAATCGGTTTGCTTCTTGTTCCAAGAACTCTGCTCATTGTTTTTTTTCCTCCTTTATGACTTTTCCTCTTAATTACTGACAGCAATCTTGCAACACCCTAAAACTGGTTTCTCTGTAAGTTTATCAGAGGGTAACAGGCAAAACGGCGCTCTGGGTGTGGCAACACCAACGGGCTCAGCGATATTGTCTTTCTTGGAAAAAGTGTTAAGTACCTCTGAGCAGCCTTAGGGCAGAAAGTGAGCGTTATAGCTGCTTAAAGGAGCTACACGTTAGATATTTAATGTTTGAGACAGGCACCTGTTGTGGAACAGCTGTACTGAGGATACTGCGTGAAGGCCACAGCTCTCTCCACTCCGTCTTTCTCCATCTCCTCGATGGCTTCCTCCGTCAGAGGGTGAACATACCGGAAACCGATGTAGAACTTGTGAGGCGCTGGAGAGAGAGAGAGATTCATTTATGTAGCATGATTCAAATTCTGGTAAGCAGATGTAGATATGATCAGTTTTCAAACAGCTGCACACTGTTTGTGCTTTTATCAGTGAGGTGTTAGCGGGCGTGTGCAGACACACCCTCACTATCTGAACTTCACACATGTTCCTCTGCTAACAGATGAACTGACCAGTAGGACACAAAGCAGCGTTTTGAAAGCAGCGTTACGCAGCTCTGAGCGCTCACATGTGCAGGATGACCCTCCCTGCCTGTTAAAACCGTCTCACCTGTCTCGGGACTTATCTCGTCCAGCAGCTTCACCATCCCCTCGCCCTGCATGGAGGTCCAGTGTTTGATGGGCGAGCCTCCTCCGATCTTACTGTACTGCTCCTGGATCTTTGGCGTTCGACGTTTTGCGATGAACGGGCCGAGCTTACTGCAGAGCAAAAGGAAGGATCTATTAACTCCTGAGTTTTTGTTACAGCAGATTGATGTGAAGATGAAAGCACCAAAAGAAAAGACTTTGAAGTGGCATCATTATGAGAGTGAAAACTAACACAAAGAGAAATAAATTCCCTAAAGCTTTCAATGAAGTCAAAGATTTAATTTCATCACATTTGTACAAGAAAACGTCTGTCACATGGATGAAGAGATAATACACAGATCAGCGTCTCTCTGGGCTCATCTCTGTGCATTTTGGTAATTGTTTCCACGGTGATGTGTTAGACATGTTACCCATAAGACTCATAAAAAGAAGAAACACTTGAACTGAAAACCAATAGTCTTAAAGCGTGCCTGGTAGCCGCACCTCTTAGCATGTGCTGAGATTACTTCATGCAAATAAATGTAAGCCAATCAGCATGCTTAAAACAGCTGTGTAAACATGTTAATTGTTGCTGTCTGAATGGGCGTTTTTGAATGGGTGTGTATGTGACTCCCGGCGCTTTTGGGATCAAGCCTCAAGTGGACACTTGAGGAACTGCATGTTTTTTTGCATTTCTGCATATTGAAACAAAAGCGTCTTTGTAGTCATGGTCTCAGCCCCACACGGTGAACTGTGGTCACATAGTTCCTGTTACATCACCGTCAAAATAAAAGCTTCGATCAAATCATAATCTTCTTATTCTTTGGTGAAGTCAGAGTAACAGTGAGGGAAGATAAACGTGTGGGGTTACAAGATGTCTTTGTTCATAGTGCTTAGAAATCACAGCTATGCTAAAGCCATACCACCTGACATGAGGGGGAAAAAGCGAATATTTATTCCTGTCTCGTTTAAAAGCACAGAAAAATCCTGGAAAGAGCTCGGTGTTGTGAAAGGAGGAACCGAGGTGCAACAGGAAACACTTTGTTCGTTCACAGTCAGTTATTGTGAAACAGGCAGAAGAGCAGCAGAGCGCTCTGTGACCCAACAACCTTCACCATCAGCGGACCCCTCGGATCTCTAAAAGCTTTCACATGTGCTTTTCTTTGCCACATTTGCAGCGAGTTCAAGACCAAACATGCTGCATTTGGGCTGAGTACTTTGTGAATATAACACATGCTTAATGACTGGCTGCTGATCACTGGGACGCCTTTTATCATGAAACAAGAAGAGACGTGCAGGTGTTGACTATTATCTACTTGTGCTGAGAGAGTGTGTGTGTGTGTGTGTGTGTGTGTGTGTGTGTGCGTCCATTGTGCATACTTCTGTACAGGGAGTTTCATCAGGTCTGTGTCCATGAAGAGCCGCAGCAGGAAGTCGTGAACATCTTCCAGTTTCTCTGGTCCTCCCATGTTCAGCATCAAGATTCCCGTCTTGGGTTTCCTGCACAGAAAAGGAGATCAGTAACACATTATTCAAGAGAATCTTTGTAAAATATGTTCTGTTGTTGTGTATTATCAAATGTTCATTATTTGTTTATTCTAGACTGTGCTCTCTCTTTCTCTCACGCTGCAGCTTTGGGTTGAATTTGAAAACCGGACGGTCGTTGCTGCTTCCTGTTTGAATTTGAAAGTTCAGATACATTTCTTTGGAAGCTTTTTTATGCATTTGTTTTTCTCTTTTAATAAAAAAAGGAAAAGCAGGGTTTACTACAGATGTGTGTTAGCGTACAAATAGAAGCAACAACAACAGCATTAATTCTGATTTGATTTTTTTTTGAATATATCAGAATCAGTTTCGTTATCGGGAACTGAAAAAAGGGGATGGGCACCTCTACTTTTCTTTAAAGCTTTGGTACTTCTCGTTATGAAAGAAAAGAGAACTGCTACTCTGATGCTCAAATATAATGCTACGTGACTGGTGAATAGCTCTAGTAATATCAGCTCATATCTGCCATAACATTTGCAGATACAATAGTCAGTTGATATGCTAATATCGGGTGATATTATCGGCTGGCTGATTAATTGGTCGGGCTCTAATTATTGTTAGTCCAAGCAGCTCATGTGAAGCTTCATCAGTCATTTGAGCAGCATGTGTGAGCTTGTGCTGTTAATGAAACTCAAGATGGCTCAAGTCCCGAATAAGACCTCGTCTTGCCTTGTTGAGCCAACTTTAGCACAAGCAGCTAATATTAGCTTGTCAGTAAGTTCAGCTGGGTGCTGCACAGGCTTCAGCCGTGCTCCCTGACCTTAACTGTACTCAGAGTGATTATGTGACGACGGCTCTGGCTTTGAACACGTTCGAGCCTCGTTAATGCTCCTGAAGAATCTGCAATCTCATTCATAACTACTGTTTGGCGGCCATCTTCAAAATGACTGATAAGAGAGAAAAAAAGCCAAGAGAGCAGAGAAGAAATCAGCAGAGAGCAGAAGCTACCAACAGACGCCTGGCACAGATCCAGACGGTTACATTTCTAATGAAAAGCAGCAGGAAGGTGAAATCAGGACATCTGTGTGCCGACTGCTCTGCTGTGAGAGCTCCACTCACTGTTTCTTTACAACGTTTTAACAACGTGTTGATACAAACTACAAGGTTCACATCGAAGATTAGGTGAATTAATGAGGAGTTTGGAAAATCACAACTGTATCAACACAGGAAAGCTGCAACTAGAGATTCATTATGTAATTTAACAATCTGCAGATTAAATTCTTCATTGTTGGATTTATTGTTTAGCCAATCAAACATCACTGAGTTTCCACAAAGCACACCACAGTTTATCAGAAGCTGAAGCCTTTAAATTGATTTTTTTGTTGTTGTTGTGTTGAACCAACAATTTAACCTCAAAGACCTTTCATTCACGACGGAGATGACTTTGGGACGTCCCGCCCTCTCTGCCTCTCTGCTTGGGTTTTTGTTGGTTTGGCTTCCTGGCTCAGCAGTCGGCCCTACATCAGGAGTCGGGAAGGACATCAGGAAAGTGTGTACACCCGAGTTCATCAGGCTTCATCTTCTTTGAGTATCTTCCACTCTTAACACTCTAACTTTGGTTTTGTTTCCACTTCACAACACTTTACTCATCCATACACTACATTCATGACTGAGTTCATTATGATTGTTGTCAGTTTAGGTTCTAATTTAGTTTATTTGAATCAGGGAAACTGTACAAACAAAAACATTAGTCTCAGAAGAGAAGAGATGCTTTGTACCAGATTTAGCTAACTAGCTTCCATCTGTTGTAACTGGACAGATGATAAATGAACCTTCTTCAAACCATGTTTCATGTGTGATACCTATCTTTCCAACTGAAAAGAGAGAGAGGAAATGTTGGGAGGAGAGAGGGGGGGGGGGTTGAAATAAAGCAAAAGGACTAGGTTGGATTCGAACCCACGGCCGCTGCTATGGAGGCTACAGCCACCGTACATGAGGCGTGACAAATAACTGTTTGGCTATCCGGGGCCCAATCTTCAGTTTGAAGTAACTGGTACAGATTGCTTTGTTCCTGACTCAAACGGTCACACTGAGGGATTAACATTTAGCTTTAAAAGTCACCAAACTGATTCAATGACTGTGAAAATATTTGGCCTTTTCTCAACTGTTAAACGTTCCTCAACAGGTTTTAAACCTTAAGCCAAAACCTACTGTCGAAAGTAATCTTCAGAAAGCCCTTTAATTTGATTAATTTAAGTTCCCACAACAGCAGACAAAAAAAACAAGAGACTGACAGTCAGTCACAGACGCTCAACGACGTCAGAACAGCACTCAGACGGCTGAAGGTCAACTGCTGTGTTGTTGTGTCAGGGTTGCTGCATGTGTCATTACAGTACTCTCACAGAATGCATTCATTGATCTCTACTTGTTAGAAAGCTGCCAGTGGGATACCAGACTCACTGTGTGTGTGTGTGTGTGTGTGTGTGTGTGTGTGTGTGTGTGTGTGTGTGTGTGTGTGTGTGTGATAAGTGCCTCACCTGCTCTCCTGTGTGTCTGGAGTCTGGGCTAAAGCAGCAGCAGTGGATCGTCTCCTCAAACTCAGACTGACGCTGCTCCTGGCGACTAAAGGAAGAGAGAAGATGGGTTATGGTGGACACGCCGTTTGTTTTTCTTCATGAACATTTGTACACTTCATACCTCCTCAAGGCCGGACCCGAGACTCATTTTGAAGGCCTCAGTCTCATCTCGGAATCAGAGCATTTATACTGGGTCTTGTCTCGGTCTCAGACTGGGCGGACTCCAGATTTTGAGAAGTTTGAGACTAAATGAATGTAAAGTTAACTACTCGCCCATCAACATTCGCTACCCTTTGTATTAAGTGTTGATAGCATGTTAGGATGCTATCAACACTTACACATCACAGACAGGAAACAAAACCAGTCTCAGAAATTATCCAACAGTTTTTAGTGAAAAAGGGGAGCTTCAGGGGCTTTCTCAACTCCATGAATGGTTCTTTATTTAATCTTATTTTAGGCAGTGCATTGTGGGAAAACTGTGCGCTTCAGAGAGAACAAAATATGCCCGCACACGAACTGGAATGCCACAAAAAAACATTCTTGCATAATAATAAAAACTTTTCGTGGCATTCGAGGATGCTGGAGAGGACTAACCACTAGGCTACCAGCTGACCTGATTAAAACTTTTTAATTGCATGTGTAGACCTGATACATTTGTAAGCATTAAACTGCACTATAACTTTAATTCAGCAAGTCTAAAAAATGAATGACGTAAAGTCACATGAGAACACACAGTGACCTTACACACACTTTAATAACCAGCAGCCCAGGGATCAAGAACAGGGTGTGAAATAACACTTATGTGTATACAATAAGCTTAAAGGACAAACAGAAGCTAATCAGTACTGAATTATGTGAACCCAGTCACAGTAAATGCATTTAAACATCGTCTGTATCCTCAGATTAACTTTAAACTTGAGCTGCAGTACCGACAGGCGCCACCAGGGGACCCAGCTATTACACAAGTTCACAACATTGGAATTGTGTAACTACGAGACAATGTTAAATTGTTTCTAATACGCTGCGGACACGAACCGTGAACGGATAACGTATTGAATCAACTGCCTGTTAGTTAATTCAGCACAAGTCCTGGATAAGTATATTATGTAACATTAACATTAAACTGTAACAAAGTGTAATGTTGAGGCTGCGGCAAGTCAACGGAAGTTAGCTCATGACTAACTACGGATGTTAAACAAAAATAAAGCAAATCAACGATGTTGCCTTCAGCAAAGGGAGAGTTTTGTCGTCGTCATTTGACAAATAATGACAAAAACAAAAAAACTAGGTGGTTAAAGTGAGCATTAATGGGTTTTCAACGTTTAACATGTCAAATATACACCATATCACGCGTTAAAGATACAGCGCGAGTTTTATTGTGAAAGTCAAGACAGGAAGCTGCCCCACTACATCCTTGTTAACTTAACGATAGGTTTACGAAATCATCCCAATGTCAGCGTGTTGTTGAGTTTACGTTCACGTAACATTACACCAAACAACGCCGACCCGTCACTAGACTCAGCATTTAAACAGTAGTGCACAAACATAGTAGTGCAGCGGCGTGTGAAATGTTCAAATAATACGCGTATTCGTGACAGCGAGATATTTCAGTGCACAGCATTGAGTAGGCTAACTTAGCTGCAGAGTCACACTCACATTGAATCAGGCGACCGGCGCTGCCAAGGACAGCCATCATGGTCATTTCCTGTTTTTACAGCCGATAAAAGACTCTCTTCCCGCTGAAATAGAGGCCAGACTCTTGTGCTCACAGCGGCTGAATCCACGAGTACTTCCCCGGTGTGCGTGTGTGACTCGGTGCCCAGTGAGCCAGATTCCTTCAGCTACCACCGGCTGCCTGTCAAGCGTCATAACGTCAACCTCTACACTTCCGGTTTGCACATTCAAAATAAAACCATCAATGACGAGAGGGTTGGATGCAATGTTTTTAAAGGTGTAGTTTTGGTAAAGACATTTGAAAGTTAGAGAAGTGTACAGATTCTGTGGTAGGCCTATATGTCCATAACTCTAGAAACAAACTGTCCTCAGAGGAAAAGTTGTTCCCTGTAAGACTGAAGATAAAATGCTGTGAGAAGTTATATTGGGGGTCCGCAACAGTGAAACCGTAACGCTCCTGGTAGCTTTTAAGCTCTAAACAGTGTTCCAGGGACCAATTCTTTCTTGGAGTAAGTTTGTGTATTCAGTTTAGAAAATATAACATAGAAGTGTTTCACTTCTTCAACTTTCAAATTTCACTACCAAATCTACATATTGCACCTTTTAAAGAATCATTTATTTACCATTTGTCTGTTTATTTAACATGGACATACAGCACATAAGTGCTGTAAAATTTAACCACACACAAGTCCTAGATGCACTGCTCATAGTCTTTATAGCAAAATTGCTCATTTGCAACACATGTCCCAGGGAAGGTTTTTAGACGTAACAGATGGAAATAAAGAAAGAGAAAAAGGGAAGGCTATACAGCACAGATCATCAAAGAGATAAAATGTCATGCTTTGTCCTTAGGCCAGGGGAAGCCTAATTGACATAATCAAAAGTTCCTCTTAGGAGCTTTACATTTTTAATCTATGAGTCTGAAGTTTGCAGAAAGGTGTTAAAAACATAATAGCAATCTGAGAGGACAAAAATAGAGTTGGTGTGAAACTGTACTTTTATCTTTCATTATATTTTTAAAATATTTATTGAAACTCATTTGAGAAAATTTAGAGATAGGATGAAATGACGTGCTTTTATTTGAGAGACATATTTGACTTCAATTCCGGTCTAGGGCGTGCTAACCTTGAATCTCTTGACGTGGAGCTGGTGTCTTGGTACGACGTCACAACTACGTTGTTATTAAATGATCAGCAAGCCCCGCCCCCTACTCGTGCCGATGACGACCCACGTCATAGAGCCTGCCACTTTAGTAAAGTTTTGTGTGTGTGTGTGTGTGTGTGTGTGTGTGTGTGTGTGTGTGTGTGTGTGTGTGTGTGTGTGTGTGTGTGTGTGTGTGTGTGTGTGTGTCATTTTACTGCTTCAGTAAGGATGTGTAAGGTGTAGTTTATAATATTCACCAATAACAGTGATTGTTTAAACCTGTTTAAGATGTAGGACAGAAGCCAGGGAAGGAGAATGGAGGATTAAAAATACATGAGAGTGTTGAAAAGAGGAAAGGATTTTTTTTAAGGAAGAAGGAAAAGAGAAACACAAGCCTACCAAAAAACTATGAATGGAATCTGGCGTGCTCACTGTGTGTCTGAGATTTGTAATACAAGGTGTGCTGTAGGGACAAAACTGGTCCACTGTTGTTGATTTTTTTAAATAGCCTACACATATTTTAAACAGTGCTTATATTTTCATGTTCTACTTCCTGGTTCGTGAAGCAGCTAGACACACCTGTTCACATTACTCTTTATGTGCTATTATTGTGCACACACGTTTGGCCTGGTGGTCATTTATCAGAAATAAATAAAGCACGATGGACAGTCAGTTACATTCAATTACAATAAAATAAAAAGCTAAAGGAAAATTGTAAAAAAAAAAAAAAAAAAAAAGTAATAAACAAAATCCGAACGTTAAAAAAAGATGTAATAGAAATAATATTTGATTCAACATCTGGAAAAAAAAGGTCATGCTATGAAAATAAAAACTTATGCTGAAAAGCTTTAATCAACTGAACGGCTTCAGGATGAAGAAATCTTCTGTCTTTGTTGGATCGTTTCCTTCTCACATTTCATTCAACCCGAACCAGTTTGTCCATAACTCAGGTTGAAAGCATTGTTTCCTTCCCTGTAAAAAACACCTGAGAGTGAGACTGATGCCTAGAGCTCAGAGGAAGCAGAAACTGGACCATATTTAATTCAATATAATTAAAATAAAAACATGAAACAGAAGCCCAAACACAGACAAACATACATGATACACCTTCTATGATAAATATGTTGATAATTTTGATGACTGGTGATGATGTTTGAAAACAACCTAGTGCAGTATGTTATTACACATGTATACAGAGTTTACCCACTTCTTTTTCTGTCTCCATATAGGGTATAAATCCCTTCTGGTTCACAATATTTACTCGTGAGCTTGGCTGTCACTCTCCATCAGCTTCTCTCCCTCATAGTGTGAAATCTATCCATTCAAAGAAAACACTGAACTACTGTAAAGGGAGACGAAAACTGTCCAGAGGCTGTAGTCCTCTAAGCGGCCGGCTCAGGTTTGAGTCCGACCTGTGGCTTTATTCCCGCATGTCATTCCTCACTCTTTATGCCAGATCTCTAACTAAAGACTTAAAAAGCCCCAAAAATAACTTATGAAATAAAGTTTTTTATATGAAGGGCTCTAGTCCTCTTAACTGTTAGTGTTTTTACTCTGTGTCTATATGTTTTGGTTTGTTTCAATAGAGGCAACAAGCTGTCTATTATTAATGTGATTATTCTCTTAGCCACATTTAATTTACACAAATCCAAATGTAATAACTTGTAAACCCTGCTTTTTGTTTTGGAACATGAAACTAAACAATTCATTCAAATCGTTCTCTCTTCCCTAAACAAAAACAAAATCCGTTCCTCTTATAATATAATTATCTAAATCTGTATTTTCTCTGGCTTTGCTGTTGCATAATGTTTATCCCCTAGCATCTGCTATTTTGTCTCGTTCACCCTGCACAGTGCACACATCTGTGGAGGTGAACTTGTGATTTCTATGTGAAATAAAGAAGAGAGAGAGAGGGAAAGAGTGAGATTTTAACCTGGACGCCAGTTTCTTTTACTCCACATTGAAGGAGAGAGTTGAGTTTCCTTCTCTTCATTGTTTACTGCAGACAGAGTTCACGGGGCACCATCTAGCGGCCGTTCGAGGAACTGCAGCCTCACTAATGTCACCACTCGTCTCCTCTTTTTCTCTGCTTGAGTAATAAAAGTGTTGCTAACACACAGTAAGCCTCAAACAGAATTTGAAAAGTCGCTTTTTTCATAAAGGCAAATAATATAACAAATCCTGAATAATAAATGTCTTCCCCTCTGCTGCCAGCCTCATTAATAAGGTCCCTGACCAGCCTCCTAGCCCCGCCCCCCGACATAACACGGACGCTCCTCCATCACACCTTCTGTACATCTTGTTCTTTATATCATGTTTTTAGGAAGTTGCTTTTCATCTTCTGAGCCCTCATGTCTCGTAGGTTCCATGTGATGGTGAGTGGCCTGCTGCTATTGAGGGGACGGTGAAGCCTTTGCAGATAAATTTTATTGCTTTTCTATTAAAAAGCTGCAACATTAACAAACCTGCTTTAAGATGAAGGGATGTACAATCAGGATGATAAACAATTCAAACCTGTGAGCAGTGAGCGACACGTTTGGCTCAGACAGACGAGGCAGGTTGTGTCTGAGAGGAAATGATTGAAATGAGGACGGACTAAAAGACACCCTCGTACACTCTGATTGATTCAGATTCTATTGAAGTGCAGTGTTTATTGAGGCATGAAGAGGCAGAGCACATACACATGATGATTTCTGAACCACCAAAGACTGAACAAATCGTGCGACAGGCCTTCAGCTCCATCTTTGATCTCCAGAGTCCGCTCCGTTGAAGTCAGGTAGGAAGTGTCATGTTCCCAGGTACAAGAAAAGAGCACGAAAGCAGAGCACAGGGGTCTGTGACTTCAATTTGAACCAAGCAATGTGACCAAGATAAAAATGTAAACACAAGAAGCAAATCGGGGATGTTTTTTTCCGATTTTATATTGATTTTAGAAAAACACTGTACTTTAGCATCTTCAAATTACAGGATCATTTCGTCCTTCAGTTCTTTCTGTCGTCTTCAGACAAATCAAGGTGATCCTTTAATTTTCAGTACAAACTCAGCCTTACTTCACTTTTTAAAAGCAACTTTTTTGTGCAACTTAATTGTATTTGCTCCAAGATTGGATGTGAATTCCTGCGTTTCTTTTCCAAGCATGGTGTGATGTAGAAAACTACAAACGCCCGGCTGTAAATTCAACCTTCTTATTCTTAAGATTTCTTTTGAATGCTTTTTGCAGAGTAACACAGAACATGTGACACTTTACTGAATCTTTTTTAGAAGGGATTTGTAAAAACAGGAACAAGCTGTTGTGTAGAAGCAATCAAGACCACATTTGCAATATTTAGGCTTTTTTTTTTATCAAGACTGGCAGATGTTCTGTACGATCACAGGAAACTACTTCAAGCTGCTTTTTCTTACTATTTAAGTAACGAGCCAAGAGCGCGAGCAAGGACGAGAATGATCCATGTTCAGGGTTTAAGTGACAGGTCAAACAAGGAGGAAGCTGTGAAGATTTCTAACTTTATGAGATGATGGAGTTCAGCGTGACGATCTGAACTCTGCAGAAAATTAAACAGCTGAAGGAAAAAAAGAATTTGTGGATTAAAAAAAAAGATGGCACACATTTGAGAGGGCACAGAGTGCTGCCACATGCCAGGTCAAAGACATACATACAGAATGTGTGTAACACAATGTGTGTGTGTTTGAGATATCAATGCGCGTGTGTGTGTTCATGGTCGGCAGCGCTGGATGAATCGAGGGTACAGGCAGACGTCTCGGATGTGATGTCTGTTCAGCAGCCAGGTGAGGAAACGCTCCAGACCCAGACCGTAGCCGCCGTGAGGACAAGTGCCGTATTTCCTCTGAAACACACAAACACACACCGTCCTGTTAACACACACACTGACAACAAAGTACGGCCAACCCAGAAAGGACAGGTTCTCGACAGATTGATGCAATCCTCAATTCAGCAGGGCTTTTGTCCATTCTCAACTTCTGCAAGCACGTGTCTTTTTGTCTTAAGACGGAGCGTGTTCCTTTTAGTGTTTTGCACATAGAC